GAGGTAGAGCTGAAGCCCAAGGTTGAGGGGCTTTCACCCAGCTCCTAGAGCCTGGCACTTTGAACTTGGACTTAAAGACTCCAAATTGTAAGAATAAACTCATGTTTGTAGTATATTCCTGTCAGAGCGGCACTAGGTAACCACAACACCCAGCATGGTAGATCATATGATTGTCTGATTCAAAATGTCCAAAACCAGTCCATTTCAGCTCACTAATGCCTAGGATATTGATCTTTATGTGGTCCATTTCCTTTGTGACAACTTTCAATTTTCCTAAATTCTTACTTTGTACTTTCATAGCCCCTACTAGTCAGCCATAAAGGAGCTCTGGTGGCACAGTGCCTAAGGCATTTAACTGTTAACCAGAAGGTTGGCAGTTCTGCTCAGCTGAAGGAAGATGGGGCAATCTACTTCCATAAAGATTTACCTCCTCAGAAATCCAGTTGGGGTCACTATGAGTCAGAATTGAGTCAATGGCAGTGCATTTGGTATTTTTGTTTGTTTTTTGTTTGTTTTTTTTTTTTTAGTTGGTCATAGCCACTACAACAACCGGAGCTCTGGTAGCATAGTGCCTGAGGCACTTGACTGCTAACCAGAAGGCTGGTGGTTCAAACCCACCAGCCAGTCCTCAGAACAAAGGCTGGGAAATCTACTTCCCTAGTGATACTGCCTCGGAAACCCAAGGAGGGGCCACTATGAGTTGGGTCTGACTCGATGGCACATAAAAACTACAACAACCACCTCTCCCAACAGACAAGTAACACCAATAACTCCTGCACCACGGGATCAACAACACACAGTGGACAACACCTGCTTGACTGAACTGCAACTCCTCTTCACAATGAGCAGACACCTGCACCCACATCCCCACCAGTGACTCCACTAACACAGAGAAAGCCAAGGAGCAAACCAGTACAGCTGAGTTAACAACCAAAGAAGTACACCTCCTCCACATTTACAGATATATTAAAACAAAGTAAAACATAAAACCCGGGTGAAACAAATCAACACATAACTAACAAATAAAGACAATAACTTCAAAATGTCTAGGAAACAACAGACAACTTCAAATCACACAAAACAACAGGACAAGATCATAGAAACAAGCGCCCAAACTAAAGAATTAGGAAAAGTCCCCAAGGAAGAACAAGTAATAGAACTAGCTTATATGGAATTCAAAAGATAGATAGATAGATAGAGATATAGATAGAGATATATGTCTATAGGACCCTCCAAGAGCCCAAAGAAACCATAAACAGAAGCAACAAGAAGACAGACAACACCCTTGAAGAATTCAGGAAAATCATTCAAGAGCAAAATAACAAAATAAATACACGATTAGAACTTATACAAAAACAGCAACTAGAAATCCAGAAGGTAAACTCTAAAATTGTAGAGATAGATAACACATTGGAAGGACAAAGAGTGGACCAGAACTGGCTGAAAAAATGCATTTCCCAGCTAGAAGACAAATTCGTTGATGCCAGATCCTATGAGGAAAAATCAGAACAAAGATTTAAGAAAAATGAAGAAAACCTAAGAGTTATATGGGATGACATATAAAGAAATAACATATGCCTAATTGGAATCCTAGAACAAGAGGCAAAAAAAAAAAAAAATACTGAGAACATAGTCAAAGACTTGTTAACAGAAAATTTCCCCCATATCATGAAAGAAGGAAAGATATCCATCCAAAAAAGGTCAATGAACCCCATGCAGAATAGATCCCAAGAGAAAGCCACCAAGAGATGTCATAGTCAAACTTTCCAAAACCAAAGACAAAGAAAGGATCTTGAGAGCAGCTCAGGAAAAACAAAATGTAGCCTACAACAGACAACCAATAAGACTAAGCTCTGATTTATCAGCAGAAACCATGCAGACAAGAAGCCAATGGAATGATATATACAAAACCTTGAAGGAAGAGAATTGCCAACCAAGAATTATATAGCTAACCAAACTGTTCCTCAAAT